GTCATAGATATAACCATAATTTATTATTTATCCCGAATGGGTGAACTTTTATATCCTCGCGAACGTTTCCCTTGGTTTTTCGAGATTGGAGTTTCAGCGTGATCCATTTGTCCCTCAGAATTTTCGAGGATTGTTGCGTTGCATAGAGGGATACCACCTAACTGTGTTGCAATTTTTCCGATCAGAATAAAAATTGGATCGAATAATTAAGCAGAAAGAAAGAAAAAGTGTAGAGAATAATGAATGATAGGTGGATATTTTGAAATTCTGAGGATGATTGGACGGTGACGAGAGAGGGGGAGAAGAAAGTGGCGAAAAACCAAAATCCAAACCTTTCCCTAAGAAACGTAATTCCTAATCAAAAAATCCTGCCATACCGTGTCTTCCAAGACAGGAACTATTGAATAGCGGATTAGTTTAGTATTTATGCGCGGTCGTGCTTCGTTGTGTGTGTGTTACAAACGTGCCCGCAAGCGTTTGTAAAGAATCGTCACATTCCTAAATACCAAAATAATATTGAAATTTTATTCATTCTTATGAGCATTGTCGGACTGAGCCACGAGAAATATTTTAATACGAATTAGATAAATTGCGGCGTACATAGTACATCGACGGTATTAAAATTTTAACAGTGGTACATTGTGTCCTAAGGTTTTATATGTGAGATGACGTAGTAATGCGTTGATGAGTTTGTGACTTTTCATCTGGGTGGATGACGTATTAATACGCCGATTTGTTCGTCGATCTTGGTACGAGATAAGTAACATAGTAGGTTCTACTGATAAACTAATACTACGTTATTTCGTCGACTCTCAGACTTGAGAATGTTAATGATACATCACTGAGTTTTATGTATAAAAAGCGTAATATTACGTCGAAAACTGATACCGCGTTTGGAGGTGAAAAATGTGTGCAGTATTCGATCCTTATCACAAGAGGACTTAATAATACTTAATAATAAAAAAACACACGATACCTTATAGTTTTAAAAATGTAGTATCATGTTATTTGTTCTACAATTTTAGATTTAAGAACGTAATATTACGTCGGCAGTTCGTATGCGTAAATAATAAGACGTAGTACTGCGTAAATAATTCATAGGGTATTAGAAGTGAAAAACGAAATACGTCACAAGGTGACGTATTAATACGTCAGAAATACGATGCTTTGTATTTCCTAATAAAATAAATGTAATACTACGCGAAAACTTCACAAAAATAGTATGTAGTTCTTAGTTTAATTTCGTAGGACGTAATATTACGTCGAGGAACAGCAATATTGGAACATACGTAATACTACGTCGGAAATACCAACAGTACCACAATTCGAAAATCTAGCGATCTCAGTGTGGTGTTCGAGTTTTTACAAATCAAATTTTATCGTTCAGTCTCGATGATGGAACTCGAAAAAATTATTTTCATACGTATGGATGTTCGAAATTTAAAAATGGTAAAATAAAAAGATCGATATTTGAGAAATTCGAAGAGAATGAGCCCAGTGACAATTCGGTAACGAAGCAGGACCGTACCTCTGTAACCCGTAATAAGTTAAGTTGTCGTTTATCCCGGTGGAAAAAAAAAGCGAACGTGTGAGCGTCGAGATGAGTGAAAATAAAAAGTCTGATTGCGTGAACTTGAGAAAATAACACGCGAGTACTTTACGATACTATAAAGAAAAAGAAGAGGGGAGAAGACGATACACGCGCACGCGTAAAAGAACACGATTTTACATTCTGTAAGATACGAGTTTTAACAACGACTGTGTAAGAACTATCCGAGAAAAAGAAAAATCGGCAATGGTACGAAGAGCGGGAGACATCGAAGAAATATTTCGATCATATTTGATTGAAACAATGCATTAGGATTAATTACGACACCCGGTGTGTATTTACCGTACTACTTTTACTTGTTATTAGCTTGCAATCTAGTTTACATTATTTTTTAAAGACGAGGTATTGTATAATTCGTTGCTATGTTAAAAATGTATAATTAGAATTTTAAAGATTATTGTTTTTGTTAAAAAAAAAAAAAGTAAAAAGAAAAAGAAAGACGAGAATGTATAAGAAGGTTGCTTAAGATGAAAAGCAAATGTGTATGAGTTTATGTGTTTTATATGATATTGTTTAGAATGCATCGTACATAGGATCATGAGATTTTCAGTTTTGTGAAATCGTACTACCGACTACGATATTTTCATACTTTCATTTCACGCACGAAACTCGTTCGATTTCTTCGATATCTCGTGTTGTGGCCTTCACCGAACCCGCCACACCTAATCACACAAATGTACATACTTACATTGCACTAATTTTAGTATTGCCGCTGAGTATTATAACTAGTCACATAAGCCAAAACGTTTGTTACTCTCGCAAAGTTTTCTTTTTTCTCAGTTTTGTAATAAAGGAGGATGAATAAAGTCCTTCAATTGAATTTTTCTGTTGTTTACAATCCTAACCTTTGTTTCCTTAAATTATTTTTGAAATATGTACCATCCCATCTATTTTCTACTTTTTAAATCTTACTTATTATATTAAAAAAGTATCTTGTATCAAAGAACTGAATATTGGCTAGTT